TTGTAGCCTTCGATTATGAAAAGGATGCCATTGTAACAAATCGTGATTATCCCAAACTTACTTTGGTGAAGTGGAATGAGTCTGGGGAGAATTACGTAACGTTTCAGGCTCCGAATGAAACTCCTATAACGGTGATAAAACCAGCATGCATGAAGGAAAATAGGAGGCTTTGCAGGTAACCTTAATAAGAAATAACTCCATTGCAAATTTTGATATTATTAGCAAAATGAAAAGTTGGTAAAAAGTTTTCGAAATACTTTTATACTTTTTATTTTGTACTTAATATGTGTACATAAGTATGTGCGTGGGTGTGTGTATACCGGCTCGAAAACGAATAACTTATTGAGTATCATTTCATGTCATTTGCTCACATACCCTGGTTTGTGAAATAAATGTTTAAATTAATGTCTTCTTAAGATTCTGGCTGGCTTTTCAGAACCTCACCAGTATTTTTCTTCGTGAACGTCTTTTGCATGTGAACAGCCGTAGCCTCACCCGAGGTCACGATAATGCTTTGAGTACAGGAAGTTGCTGATATAACTCATGATGCTGTAACAATGAACTATTTGATAAAGCAAATCTCACGACCAGGGACACACTTTAGGCACACTTCTAGGTGCATTTAGAAAGCAAGGTTACTCGGTCGCTAAGGCTCATTCATAGATAACATAATCAGATATGGCGTAAGATGGCGAGCCCCCTTTTCCTACTGATGGAGCTCCTTTAGTAAGACAAAGTCTTCAGACAATTCTCTCCAATTTTGTCCAGTTGTGGATGTGATAAACTGAAACCCTCATAATTCAAAATGGTCATACATTCCCACTTGCATGAACTGGCATAACGCCTAGTTATCACTGCAGAGTCTCCTGCTGTTGCCAAGAAGCTTCCCATCTTCTGGGGGCCTTCGGTCTTTCGATATTATTCCCCGATTAAACCAGAAAGTACAGAAATATTCGCATAATACAGAGTTTAGGAACCATACACCTCGCAACTCTTCCAAAGTTGGCAACCGGTGCTGCAAGGCGTCAGAGTACGTATTGGCATCAGAGAACAGAATACTAAACATATAATAATAGTAATAATATTGTTAATAATAATAATAATAATAATAATAATAATAATAATTTTTATTTATTACGCCAGAAAGCTACTTAAACTGCATTGCCATTTGGAGGAGTGAGGCTAAATGTTCTGACCCAAGGCAAAATAACAACCATTTCAGTATTTGATGTCAGAATTGCAGGAAAACTGGTCGACGACTATGATGGAGATAGGGATCCTACATCCAGAAGCACTTTACATATTGCACCAATGATTTTCGAATTGCGTGGATTGTTCAATGATATAATTAACACCATAAAAACGGAAATTACACTGGTCTACAAAAAACACACTTTTTTCTGCAATAAGTAAAAAACACGTTATGACTGAAAGATAATTTCCTTCTCAATCTAGATCTAATTTCAGAATTTCTGTATCTCGTTATGCATTATATGTAACTGTCAAAACGTCAGGTTCTCATAACAACAGATTCAAATGTATAAATTAACTATAACATTCTAAGTGAAAAAAAAGGTGATGATACATTCCAAAAAATATTTCCTTCCTGATTTCTTGCGATACTTTGCCTCGTCTTACCTTTACATCTTCATACGTTTCAGCAATAATCGGACAACATTGCGCCACTCAAATTGCCTTGATAACGCTTTCTCATTTGAAGAATGGCCCGATGGAACCGATAAGGGACTCGATATCACTACACAAAAACTATGTCACATTTCTTTGAGAAACATTTTGAAAAACTTAGTGATCACGAAAACATTCAGTTTCTTACAGGGGAAAAGATTCCATTCCTTTAGTCGCTCAGCTGAAAGTTCAGATTGTTGCTTCGACAAATCTAAATCATTACTATAATCGTTGAAATCCCCTTAAGACAAAATGAGGCTCATTTGAGTCAGAGGAGGATTGAAATGTTGGGTCATCTTGGATATCTCCGTCTCTCGGATTCTCTCGTCTAAAGCAGCATTTGCCAACTGGCGGAGAAATGACGTCTAGCTCCATTCCCCTCCGCGGGCAGGTGATAAGAGAAGCTGCGCGAGCAAAGGAGGGTGGGAGAGAGGGGTAGGCAGCTGTCGCCGGTGACGAAAGCCTTGGCTGTGGCAGTGAGCCTTTGCCAGTGTTTCAGGCAACACGAAACCCATCTACACCCGATAATTTTCTTTCGATTTGGGTATAAATTTTTTTGTAGATCCTGTAACAATGGTGAAGTATTTAATGCGTTCGAAAGAACTGCAGTATGTTAAGAAGTTCAACTGGCAGAGGCATTAAGCAGATTTAAACCCAAAGAAACTCACGAGATGAAAATCATTTCTGAGAATTTACAGATAGCCTTCAATCATGAGATAAAAAAAGGATTTCGCAAGTAGAAGGTTATGGAAAATGTACTGAAAATCACATTCCCAAACAAAGCTGTACATGAAATAATCAAGCCTGGAGTCAAAATTCTCCCACGCGTTCCCTCCCGTGTATCTATTTGTTTACATTATTTGCACAGGCACCCAAAAGAAAAAAAAATATCGGACCCAAAGACTTGACACATGTTTCTCTACGTATTTTGACGCGTTGGATCCGAAGCCAAAATTGCGCCACCTTCTTCCAGTTGTTCTTTAAATCGCGAAAAAACAAAGTGAAATTGTAAATTTCGCGGCTTTTTTGCAATTAAAAAAACTGGAAGGGGTCGCGCAATTCTGGCTTTGGATTCAGTGCGTCGACGTATATAAAGAAATATGTGTCAAGCCTTTGGGTCCGACAACGTTTTTATTTTGTGTGCCTGTGTTATTGGTTCAGGACGAACTAAAATGGTTATATTACATAACATTGTATAAAATATTGTATTAGAATATTTAAACAGTCTTATCCAATTATGTTATGTGCTAGAAGAATGAAAGAGGAATTACTGGCTCCGATAGAGTCGGATATTGCTTTGTGTTATGAAATAATCTATGTTCAATTTTTAATTTTTTTTCATATATTGAATCATAAACATTTACATAATAAATACCTATTATAAACATACAGGTCTTATAGCAAGAAGTGAATTCGGATATTTTACAGTTTTCTTCGTTTTCGGTGTGATTCCAACAATTTTTGACAAACAAATAATATTCTGTTATGTGACCCATTAGTTCTCTTCAAAGCTGAAAAGAGCAAAGGACATGTGCCATGTACATTTTGACCTATGTGTAAGGTGTATATCACACGACACACAGCATATATGGGGGGTTCATGTCGGGTCCTGACTGCCAACATAACACCCAAAATCAAATTCATAACACTTCCTTTTCAGAGCACCTTCACGAACCTAGAACAACATGCAGTACATCTAAGCACTTTCCACGCTATAAGACCTCTTAATGATTGGATGCAACAGGCAAGAAACACAATGCAATTCTATCTGTTCGAGCATGACTTATCAACAACGTTGCCAAACCGTTTTGATTTACTAGAGATGAATTTTCTGAATCAATGTACTGTATTATCATGTCACGTAATTCTTTGTTCATTTTTCGATTGCTCCTGAACAATTATATCTGCAGGATAATTAAATGAAGCTGCAGCAAAATTACCAATATGTCGTGTTTTGAAGCATTTTCGTAAATAGGGACTAGCGTGAAACAAGAAAACTGAGCTCGATTGGCAAACACTGATTTCATATTGGAATTTTGGGTTCAAGTATTAACCAAGAACGCCATTCAGCGTCTTCGTTACAAAAATGCTGTTGACCAGTGTTATTAATAATATATAAAAATTAAAACTTACAAACTTGGATTTAAATATAACACACAATTTTAAACCTTAATTAAGAAAATGGCAATAGTAAAGAAACAACATAAATTAAATAACCTTGATTCATTACTAAATTCCCTTTGAAGTGTTGTGATTTTTACTTCATCGCGCCCACTGAAATATTAATTACCTTAGCCTTAGAAATGAGATGTTGGGTGTCGACGTACGATTGAGATCATAGCGATGCATGAGGAGATGTACTGGTCCTTGTGGACAGTAACAAGCGTCCACACTCCCTAAGCCTAGGTGCTTTCATTATTTAGTATTAGCACCTTGAGTCCTACGGGGACAGAATTGCAAGGTGAACAGTGTCCTCTGTACAATGTCAGCTAATTGAAAAAGGAGCATACAATGGCATTTAATAAAGCAATGTAGGCTTTCATGCCTGAATATATCTTCCAGTCGGGGTCTATTTGACATTTAATCATCATTTTAATGCAGCAAAACAGTTGTGGTGTGTTCAGAATTAGCATAATTAATTATTAGAATTTAATACAGCAAAAAAGTTATGTTCTGGGGATGTCAGATATAGCAAAGGATCTTACATTAAAGAGCGTTGTAAACGCATGCCTGCATTTTGTTTTCTAACAGGAATTGTATTTGTTTTTGAATAAAAATTATGTTTCTTATATTCCTTTTCCAGTCTGTATTTATAGATTTTCTTATTATCTGTATCTGAATGAAGTAGCTTGACTGATTAAAGTAGCTTGATCGGAATGAATGATAGACTTCAATGCACTTTTGTCCATTCGCACAAAAAAATCTAGGAAATTTCCGGTGGGGGGGGGGATTTAGAAAATGCAAAATGGGATTCATTCGATATGCCTTCAAAATTAGAACCTTCCTTTCAAATTCACAGAGGTTTAAGTTCATCACATAAGATATAGATTCATCACGAAATATTAATTTTAGAGAAAAGCCTGTACAGCTTAGAAGCTAGTGTTTTTCATTCACGGATAGACGTACTTAAAAACACTTTTTCGGTATCAGATACACCCAAAACAGGAATGTGAGAAAGTAAAATGTCTTGAAACTGTACGTGAGGTAGAAAAATGTATGTGTTCATATATATTTTTATTAATAAATTAATTAATTACGAATATTTGCAAGTGTACAAATTGAAATATAATGAATTGACGCTCGCGTATTTTCAGTTTATGGAATGGTGACTCGATTTATGTTATGGACTTTGGAGAGGCTGCTGCCCAGTGGATCTCACAGTATTTGGGCCTTCAGGGCTCAAAAGGACGTATTCATTTTGGATATTTCTGCCCAAAATATTGCCAGGGACGAAATTTTGGTACACCACTACAACATCTGAAAGTTGATTATCCGAACATATCGAAAAGAGATTTTGTAAGTCAATAAATTTCTGACATTTTTTAAGTATTGCGTTTCTGAATTTCAACTACACGCCAATCTTTGCCGCAGGGGGTTTACTGTGATTTCGCCCCATACACGCTGATTACCGAGTCGAGTGTGAAAGCGTTGAAGAACGAATTAGGACGTGATGGAGAGCTGTTAGGTCCCGACTGGTTCCGACCGAATTTCATCGTCGGTGGGTCTCAAGAATTTGAGGAGGACACATGGAATTATGTAAAGATTGGAAGTGCCATCTTCCAAAATGTCATGCCTTGCCACAGGTGAGGAACTAAAACAAATGGAAGACGTAAAGAACGATTTTGTATTACGTGACGTTTTTGTGCTGATAGTAGAATTCTCTCCTCGACTGTAAACACTGATAACTGCTTGCAGAAAAACCTTACACAGTGCTCGATAAAGTCTGGTGTGAAGAGGTTCAAAGGTACCTAACTAACAATTTCGCGCTTCATGAGCAGAGTATGATCTCGAACTTAATACGTGTCAAGGAGATCTCTTCCTCTCCATTTTGTTTTCGATCGCAACGTCTTATTTTTATTTCTTGTTAATCATTTTAGCCTCAAGAAAATGAAAACCATGAAATAGCAAAAGTAGATTTTGTCTTAAATTTTATCTAATACAGTAGTGTATCAGCATTCCAGAAAACTAGATTTGAGATTTTTGCCAACATAGCAAATGGTTTGGATATAATGTAGTTCATAATTTTTATGGGACCGTTACAAAAGCGATTATATTCATTCTTACTTAAAAGTGATTAGTAAACACGAAAATACAATAACATTAATACAACTCTCCGTGAACAAAGTGTGCAAATTTTCTCAAATTTTTTTAGAAAACTTTACAGATTCAAATAAACAAATAAGTGCGCCTTTATTTTCAGTAGTGTTCTAATAAAAAAGAAATGACTGGTTTTTAAGTCTGAAATAATAGTCGTAATATTTCTCCTGTTCCAACTTTTAAAAACTAAACTCAAATTTCCCATTTTAATATTTTGTTGAGTTATAAATAATGGAATTATAATTTTTCCAGAGATTTGTCCTGTTGCATCGATCCAAACACAGGTATCAAGAGTCCCAAAGGAGAGCCGTTCAAGACACTAGTCAGGTACTTGAGCGCGACAGTACACCACAAATTAAATGTTCAGAATGTCTCGCAAAAAATACCACCCACATATCTTTAAGGCGAACAAATATTATATATATATTAGATTTGAGTTTTCTGTAAAATCTTCAATTAGGAGTAAAATAAATAGAGAGCGTCCACAGTGACTGTGACTGGGATGTCCAACGGTTCGAGTAATGTCGCGGCTTTTCGCCGCCAGGTAGATAGTATCAAACTCCAGCTTAACCAAATTAAAAAATACTAATATTCATTTTAAAAAGAGATTAATACATTTAGTAAATATGTTGCGTCTTACGACGTTTCTGCCTACAGAAGGTTTTGGCCTACTTCAGAAAGTGAATATAGCGAAAGGAAACCTACAATTGATGTTGAAAATTAAAAAAGTACATCAATTATTAAAATAATATTGTCAAAATTACAAACCTTATGGATAGCATAATCACACAAAAATATGTGGTGGAAAGAAGTATACATGATTTGTTGGGACATTAATAGCGTGAGATAGTGAAATCATGTTCACAAACGAAAATTGATAATTTGACTCATTTCATGGTACCGTCTCTTCCTAGAGAGGGTACCATGAAATGAGTCCAATTATCGATTTTCGTTTGTTAAAAACGTAGTTCAAATGTGGCTCTTTCCAAATTATAAGGAGAGAGGGTACCATGAAATGAGTCCAATTATCGATTTTCGTTTGTTGGCTAAAAATGTAGTTCAGATGTGGCTCTTTCTAAATTATAAGGAGAGAGGGTACCATGATATGAGTCAAATTATCGACCTTCTTTTTGTTGGCTAAAAACGTAGTTCAGATGTGGCTATTTCCTAATATAAGGAGAGAGGATACCATGAAATGAGTCAAATTATCGGGTTTTTCGTTTTCGTGAGCGGCCGTGTGGGTGTCGGTGGCTGCGCAGGTGCCGGCGCCTGCAGCCCAACTCGGTGCACCAGAGGACGCTGGTGGCGCTGGGCGTGGGGCTGGGGCTGCGGGCTGCGGGGCAGGTGCACACGGGCGACGAGGTCTTCATCGCCGACAGCCTCCGCCCCCGCTGACCGCCCCCGCCCCCGTCCCCGCCGCCGCCACCGCCACGACGCTTTATTTTTGACGAGCATTTTACATTTTCTTTGCAGCTGAATAAATGGATTTACGGGTCCTCAAAGAGTTTCATTGTCCTTTTTCACACGGGCTGTTCCCGACTGCGGTGGCCGAGTGGTTGCCAATTAGAACGGGCGGCGAGTTTGTTCCAATAGTTGCGTGCATTTTGCCTCTTCAGTATATTTCGTAAATGGGAGGAAAATATGGCGAGTAGTGTTTGTTCGATTTGCAAGAAGCAGCATTTAAAATATTAACCAAGACCAAATTGAATGGTACAATTTTGCGTAAGAAATCAGATTTTTTTTTATATTTGCAAGAGACAAAACAGTACTTGATAAAATAAGATTCAAAGTCTTACCTTAGTTAATAGGGTTATAAACGCTAATACGCCCAGTGCCGCCCAGAAGTGTGTTCCGGGGCGTGGTCTGACCTTTGAAACCCTACAATCAACACGCTGTCCCCGCCCAACTTCCAGTGCCCTTCCACCAACACGAACAGGCTAGAGCGCAGGCTTCCGCGGCCGGAGTCAGTAAGCACTGGCTATCCGGGAGACGCCGTGTCTTCGTTTCGCTAAAGTGGATTTCGCCCCGAGAAATGTTGCAAAATGGCGGCCAAAACGTTGGCACATGTGCCTAGGCCTGTGCCACCGTCTTCCGAACAGCCAATTAGTTACAGATAGCTTAGCATGCAACGATCGGGACGACAATGCGAGAACACGCCACATCAGCTGTAATAAAAAATTAATAATTCGTACATGGTAAAGAAATTAATTCTAGAAACATGCGTTGAGATACGAAAATAAAACTATTCGATTATTGTTGGTTAATGCGTTTTACAAACTTGTTGAATTTTTGAGGAAGGACGCCGCTCGTGAGTTCTCAAATGGCAGCTGACACCAACTCAGTGCTGCAACTCAACAGCCCGAGCGCGAGCTGGAGGCCCACACCGCGGGCTGCTCTTTGTGCTGGCGCCCCCAGAAAACTAAACCTTCGGACCGCGAGTTGACCTTTTCAATATCTTTTAAAACTGTGTTTAGAAGCGCTTAAGGATGGGTGAGAAATATGAAAGACAACTTCAAATTTAACTGAAAACGTTCAAGTTAAATCAATGTCGCAATATTTTATTGCATTGTTGTTGCATCTGGGTCAGATCTCGTGCGCCAAAGCGAAAGTGAGAAGAGCGCTTTACTCGACGTTTGTTAATCCGATCTTAATAAGATAAGGCGCCCTCTTCTTCTGTTCGCTGCGCTGTCTCCCGTGCGGGATAAAGAGAGCCACGGACGTCGGACAAGCGGATCAAGCACATGCAACCACCTGCTGTAAAGTCCCCACACACGTTCTGGATACATGCCACATTTACCACGTGCGTCTCATGCGTACCCATGGGCTACCACTGTATTTTCAACATTTCGTACCAGATGGAACGTTTTAACATTCACAGCTAATAGCTATAAGATAGCTATAAGCTATAATGCTGAATGGGGTACTATGGAGTCGGGAAATTCATGTAAGAACAAAAAAGGTTATTATACGAACTATTATTGAAAGTATTCTAACGTATGGTGGAGAGAGTTGGGTCTTGGCGGAACGCCAGAAACAGAAATTATGTGCAGTAGATTATGGATGGATTAAGAAGGAGCTGCCAAATTTCTAGAATGGAAAAAATTATAAACTTAGAAATTCGGAAACGGATGCAGCAATCGGAATCGGTGGTGGACAGATTAGAAAGTAAAATGCTGCAATGGTATAGCCACCTGAGAAAAATGTCAGATACAAGATGGCCCATGAATGTCCTCGACTGGTCTCCTCCAGGAAGGAGGAGAACCTGGCCTCGCAAAACCTGGAATACCGGAGTAATGGAAGTCATGCGTGAAAGAAGAATGGACGACCTTTGGTCGGATAGAGAAGGCTGAAACTGCAAAATAAGAGGCAACCGCTGACAAGTGGAAACGCCGATAAAAGTAAAAGTAAGTAGGTTTAACAAAATTGCAGAGTTCATATTTACGCGCTCGGTCGTTCAGGATATGGTGTACCACGAACTGATAACACGTAAAGAATCAGAAGCTTACTAGTTTCCATCGTGATTGTTTTATTCACTGAGTTGTGGCCACAGACGTTCGTGTTTGCCGAATGGATAAATTTGTTATGAATCCGTGTGTGGGGGTCCGTTTCGAGACTTTTAACCTTATCGCATATTTTCACCTCTAACTAGGAACATTATTTGAAAACATTTAATTTGGGATGAATAAGAGCTCCGTTTCATAGTTTTGGTCTACCGCCTTACTGAATATGTGGAATCCAGACATTCCACTTAAAGTAAAGCTAACATTTAAAAACCGTCACATTTTCACATGAAAATCTTCCGTTTTCTTTTGTGCATTTGAAAGAACAAAACTCAGGTCGAAATGTTCTACCATGGAGAATGCCTCTTTGGAATACAGAAGCCCTCAGCGTGAGAGGTTTCTTAAAATAACTTCTCACATCTTTAACTTTACGACAAGAAGCTCCATTGTGGATATTGCAACTTCATTAAAAATAATTAATTCACTTCACATCCCATAAGATGTTGAGTACTCCGAATCCAAATTTTCTGAATCCTTGATACTACATCATTGGATCGCGGCAAAAGATTAATGCTCGTCTGTGACCCTCTGCCCGTCGGTTTGTCCCTCGGTGTGGTCAACATTAGCGCCTACTGGCGATTTTCTTCGAAACTGACATTTCGCAATCGATCTGGCCGGACTCGAGATTACACGAATATGAATCTGTTATTTTTATTTGGGGAAGGAGTTCTTCATATAAAAACTTAATGACATTTTCAAAATTTTACAGTTAGCGGCTGCAAAGTTTTGGAATAAGAACGTAGTTTAGTGCAAAGAACGTATATAAAAATCACGCAGATCCCTGTTTTTGAAAATGTACTTTTATTGCGCTGCTTTTATTTGGGAAGATATAAAAATAATAAATAACATTTAATTAATGTCTTTGAAAGTCTCTACAAAGGAACATAATTCCAATATATTAATATTTTCTGATCTAAACAATATCTTATTAGCTATTTGAATTTTGTTATTGACTAATTCTACAATGTAAGATTCAAGCTACATTTGAAGATCGCCACCCTCCATGGCGTATAAGTGCAGTAACATCACTACCATTATCGGCGAGAAACGTAGCGATGCCCTCCAAACGAATGACCTGAGTACATTCCGTTTGGTAGTTATAAATAATTTCCTATATTTTTTGGAATTCATGCAAATGTATTGATTCCAAGGAGATTATATCTCAATATACCACGAGTGTAAAACAAAAACGTCTGTTGTTTTACTCTCTAATGCCCAAGGTAATTTTTCTGCCCATAGCGGTCGCCCATTGTCGCGTTTGTGCGCGCACAGGGGCCGTTTGCAGCCCTCTTTTACGCGCTTTTACAAGAGCGTGCTTTTACAAGATTTAGTGCTAACCAATAGTTGTGTTGCTAAATATTTACTACTAGAGCGCTCCAAAGCTCAAACCGCTGGTTATATGAGCATTTTTTACTATAAGAAGCAGCCAAACCGTTTGAACTTGTGAAGGACTTAATTAAATGTAGTTTCAGTAATTCAATTCTTCACTGGATGCAATAGTAAATATTCTGTGCTTGAATATTTTCGTCGCTTTATTGTTTACTATCAAAACAGAACTTTCTTCTTTCAGCATCGACGTTCAAATTGTACAACTCTGATCTCTGATAGTCTGATAGTCTACAAACACCAAATTTGCCAAAAATAGCAACAATCTGAAAATCACATTGCGAATTTATATAATACACCAGCCGAGTCACCAGTACATAAAGAAACTGAGTAATTATTGTCATAATTATTATACCTTCATTAAAAGAAACATTTCGTC